GATCGCGAAGGACACTTCAAGAATCCCATTCCGACTGGTCTCTACTAGAAGCATAAAATTTCCTTAAAAATCGGACAGAGAAAATTAAAACAACGATGGAAAAAATGAACTTTGAATCTAGGGTTCTTGTCATTTTGTTGGCCAATACAGGGTGGTCTCGAGGTAATGGACCAAAATTTATGGGTAGATTCCCGAAGCAAAAATATTGCGATTTAGCCGAACTTACCTTAACCCAAAAGTTAATAGTTAAAGAGATACAAGGTGTTAAATGTAAAATATTATTTTAGTTTATTTCCATTTTATTTCTTAATAAATGTAAATATCTACACAAAATTTTGGGGTTTGGGGTTCTTTGAGTAGAGGAATTGAAATTTGTTCACATTTTGGTTATAGTTCATAGAGGGCGCCAGCTGCCGTAGGTTGAATGTGCTGGAAACGACATAACTTTTTTGTACTTTAAGGTATCTCATCTCATCAATTCTTATTTTTCAACTATTTGTACACAAAAAGGTAGACTTTATGAAAGTAGCTGTCTCGCACCGTTTCCGAGATATTTGGCTTTGAAACTTCCAATGCTAATAGTTGAAATAATTAAAATAATTTAGAAATGTCAAAAACAAGGGTTTATTTAGAATTAAAAATTGTAATGAACAGTAAAATAGTAAAAATTAGTAGAAAAATATGCCTGTTTGACAATAATTGCTCAAAATGTCCACCTCTAACTTCAACACATTTACCAACGCGTTTATTAAAAGATTCACACTTTAAAGTATAAATCCTTAATGCGAAATGACATTGCAGCATTTAAAACCTGCTACTAAAGTTCTTCTCAAGTGTTTATAGTTTCTCCATAAACAACACACATTTATGTATACGAGTACGAGTATACAATTTAAATTGTAAGCTAAGATATAATTTTAATTAGATAGGTACGAATAATACTTAATACAAATTAGCATACAAATGATAGCACCACTGTGGAAGATGTCAATTATTTGATTTTCGTCCAAATCCTACTTAAGAAACTTTACCGCTAAATTTATAATACCTGTAGGTATTTAATTGTAATTTAATGCAACAGCATTGGAAGTTTCAAAGCCAAATATCTCGAAAAAGATGCGTCGAGATAGCTACTTTAATAAAGTATACCCTTTTTGTGTAAAAAAGTTTAAAAATAAGAATTTGTTACCAAAGATGAGATACCTTAAAGTACAAAAAAGTTATGTCGTTTTTAACACATTCAATCTACTGCAGCTAGCGCCCTCTATGAACTCCAATCCCCAAAATTTTGTGAGGATATTTGCATTTGTTAAGGAATAAGTTAAAAAAAACTGAAATGACATTTTACATTAAACAGCCTGTATCTTTTTAACTATCAACTTTTGGACTAAGGTAAGTTCGGTTAAATCGCAATATTTTTGCTTGAGGAATCTACCCATGAATTTTGGTCCATTACCTCGGGACCACCCTGTATACATATTATACAGGGTGTTTTGCATAAGAATTGACACAGATCAGGGGCATGTAGGAGAACCCAAAATATGGTGATTTAACCTTTATACTAAGTTGCATCCCTGAGAAGTTATAGGCCTTGAAAGTGGGGTTAAAAATTTTGAAAAAAATCAATATCACTTATATTTCAATATCAAATCTCACTTATATTTCAAAATCAAATTTGGTACACGATTTGAGTGTATCAAAAGCATATTAATCGACAGTGTAAGTAGAGTTCAATTGAAGCGTTTTTTCACCCATTTGCGGACTTAAAAAAGTTATGACTAATTTAATTCTAAAACTTTTCTTACTCTTGTTAGTTTTCAAAAATCTTTGTTCAACAACACAAATAATAAAAAATACTTATTGTAGCTGTTATTTAAAATCATCGAAAATTTAAAAGTTGACTATAAATTTAAACGTCAAACTTGACGATCAGGAAAAAAGTTGCAAGAATAATTTAATAGAAAAACAAACAATTTAAACAACAGTGTATTTTTATTCCAACTTTTCTCCTGAACGTCAAGTTATTCGTGTTTTTGTTGAAAACGACAAAGTTTTTTGAAAACTAACAAGAGTAAGAAAAGTTTTAGAATTAAATTCCTCTTAAAATAAAGTAATAATTTTTTAGGTCCACCGAGTTAAAAAATTCTGTCATATTTTAATGGTTTATCATCCCTTATCAACTCTTTAAAATGCTTTAATTGAACTCTACTTACTGTCGATTAATGCTCTTGGTACACTCACACCGTGTACCAAATTTGGTTTTTCTAAGTTCAAGTATATCCGAGACATTGAAACTCCACTTTCAAGCCTTAGTATAAATGTAAAGTTACGTTAAATCACCATATTTTGGATTCCCCTACATGCCCCTGCTCTGTATCGGTTCTTATGCAAAACACCCTGTATATTAAAAAAATAACTAATAAATTATTTTAATAAAAAAATCATGAGACCACCGCTCTTGAACAAGTTCAAGATAATCAAGAACATGTTGCCCTGGAGTCAGAAGAATTTGATGAAAACGCATGTTAAACACTTGTTTTTTTGAAACTAATATTTTGGTTCTTTTTGTGTCTAGTCATGGAAATTTTGAATATTGTTTTAAAAAAATACCTTTGTCCTTTTTGTTAATTTATGTGAGCTCGCCTAATTTGACGTTTTTGAAGAAATTCTGAATATATGTATGCATTTTGTTAGAATATGATATTTTTATATTCATGAAAGTTTATTTCCACAAAATACATCTAGAAGCCTGTTCTTTTTTGTTTCTTCCAATTTCTTCAATTTTTTTCTTCAAAAATTAATAAAAAGAAAAACAGTTTCTTTCCACAATTTTCCTGTTTTTTTTTGAATTGTAAAATTTCTAGTCATGACACATCTACCCTCTAGGTACATAATTTGATAATTGTTAAAACTTGCTTACATTTTATTTTATTATCTTAACTACCTACTTATTTATATTTTATTTTTATTGTTAAATTTACTTGGTTGTCCAAATACAAATACACCGCATAGAGCTATAGGGTCGTTTCCCACTTTATTTAAAAATTTTGTCAGATTTGCTAAAAATATTTAACATGTATTTCATTTTGTGCAGCAAGAGAAACACAATATAGTGTATCTGCGGAGTTGAAAAAAAGGTAAAACTTTTATATATTTTTATTTTAATGGAAAAATGTAATTCACACTAAAAAATTTTATTTATAGACACAAATAATAATCGATCTCCTTCCAACATTTAATATACTCAGGGTGTCTCCAGATGGTCTTAACCTTTGGTGTCAGCATACAATCTTTGAGCTGGAAAAAATAAAGTAAAAAATAAATTGGAAATTTTGGGAAACGAGTCTATTTGGTTAAAGATTTGAAATTTTTATTTAAAAAATGAGTTTTAGAAATACTGTTGCTTTTCCATTTTTTCGTTCATTTTTTTATAATAATAATACTCTTTATTATTCCAACAGGAAGAAACCCAATTACAGGAATAAGAAAATATGACAAAAGTACAATAATTTGTGATGTATGTACCTATAAGTACCCATATGCATACATAAATATAATTGTTTGCCTTTACATATATACACATATATATATAACCAAACTGTGAACAAATTTCAATTCCTCTACTCAAAGAACCCCAAACCCCAAAATTTTGTGTAGATATTTACATTTATTAAGAAATAAAATGGAAATAAACTAAAATAATATTTTACATTTAACACCTTGTATCTCTTTAACTATTAACTTTTGGGTTAAGGTAAGTTCGGCTAAATCGCAATATTTTTGCTTCGGGAATCTACCCATAAATTTTGGCCCATTACCTCGAGACCACCCTGTATTGGCCAACAAAATGACAAGAACCCTAGATTCAAAGTTCATTTTTTCCATCGTTGTTTTAATTTTCTCTGTCCGATTTTTAAGGTAATTTTATGCTTCTAGTAGAGACATACATACATATATACACATATATACACACATACACACATACATAAAAAATATTCTACTAATAGATAAAATATTTACAAAAAAGAAAATAACAATGCAGCATCATGATACAAACAAAATGTAATTTACAAAAAATACAAGACAACACAAAATCACGTTAAGCGAGCCACCCAACTACATATACTCTTTAATGCATCACTATGTATATCACAGTTAGAAGCGATTTTATTATAAAGCCCACACATCAATGATATGGGAGACTTTGTTAAAATATTTGTACGAGGAGTAGCACAGTAAAACAGAACTTGCTGTCTAGAATTCACACGAGGTATCAAAAAATTTATTTTTTCTAAAAGTTCAGGACAATCAATATTGTTATTTAAGATGTTGTACAGAAATCGAATCAACATAATATTACGTCTGGTTTCCAGTGAATCCAAATTAAATCTGTTAAGCAGTTGATTCTGGGGAAAACCTCTGGGAGGAGAAGACCCATCTTTCAAATAAGATAAAAATTTTAAAAACTGTCTCTGAACTGATTCCAACCGCTGACAATGAACTTGATAAATTTTTGTTAAAATTACACTAATTCAGAAACACTTTCACAGTATTGTGATTCCAGTTCAACAAATAACATATAATATTTAAATTCATGACAATATTAAATTAAATAAATTTACAAATTAGAGCAAGCATTTTTATACTAAGATAATTCTAAAATAGATTTTACTCCCAAACAGTCCATCCTAACGAAATAACACATGAACTTCTTATTACCATAAAATTACTTTTAAATTAATTAAATTTTTAATGTCCAGATCAAACACTGAAAATAAAACATATAAATAAAACTAGTTTAATTTAGCAAAACATCCTTATTCTCTATTTTATGACAAGCCTGACAAAAGTGTAGAAATTAGTTTTTCACTTGGTTCAAAAGTGTAACAATAGTATTAAGTTTCGGAACACCCTAAATAAAACAGAAAACTACTTACACTCAACATTTTAGCATGTGTTTGTATAACAATATAAATAAATACATTAGTCATATTTTCATTTCACTTTATTAGTATACTGTTAGAACACTGGAAGCATTCCATAACATATCCTCCTTCATTTAAGTCTTTCTTATGTATCACAAAATTTTCACCACATCGACAAAGATATAAAGCGGTGTCATCCTCACTAAAGTCTAGTTCACTCTGTGATAATTCTACGTGTATTAAAAAATGTTCGTCAAAGTCTCTTTTAAGGAGAGATGTATCATAATCCTTCCTCGAGTTTTCATCCATTAATGTTTTATACGCCTTATCTATGGCAATAAACTTTTCACTTGTCGAAGATGAACCCTCGTGTTTATCTGGATGGTACTTCTTGATCAACTGTTGATAATTCCGCTTCAGTTCAAAGAAAGAAGCCTTCTGATCGCACCCTAAAATTTCATAGTAATTTCCTTCAACTGTACCATTACTTTTGCTGCATGTTGCTTCTTTGTCCATCGGTATATTGATATTGATAGATAATTTTAAGACAAAAGTAACAATAATTGAAATTGAAAATAAAATTTGAGGTTAGGCTAGGTCTAGGTGGCCAACTGCCAACTGTTTCATTAAAGGCCTATCCGCATAGCATAGAAGAATAGAAGATGCAAGTTGGAATCGAACCGGATGAGCAATTTCTTTGCGACCAATACAAAGACGACTCGAATACTTTTTTATTTGTCTGTGAACCAGTCACAACAAGTATATTTATAATTTGGTTGACATTAGTGATGGGCATAATCGACCAATTTTAATAATCGAGTTATCGGTAATCGAGTACTTCTAATAATCGAGTGATCACTCGAGATACGAGATATTGGTCGTTTTCATCCCAGCGGCGCACAAATATGTTTGTATTCGTCATATATTACTTATAAGCGTAGCTAAAAAAAAAAAAAAGCTCACGCACTTCAAAACCTAACTACTTTTTCGTTTTATTCTAAAAAAAAAGGTTACGCAATCAGTGACTATTTGCAGTATGCACTAACATTTTGGGGTGCAACCGTAGGGTAATAATCACTCGAGTGGTGGGAGTAAACATCTCGAGATATCTCGAGTGATCTCAATAATCGAGTACCACTCGATTTTTCACTCGAAATCTCCCATCACTAGTTGACATTCCGATCCGAAGTGGAAAGCGTTGGCAAATAGTTCGAGAGTCAATACCTAACATTGGAACGAACAAATAATTATAATTGCCAATGGTAGTTTAATTCCTCTAATTTAATACGAATAACCTTTTCCTTCTGACGAAACAGATGTTGGAAAGTTACTTTGCCAAAACAATATCGACCTGATAATCAAAATGCTATGTAAAATTAGAATTATCAGGAATTTTAACGAATGGTAGCAGTTGATTCATGGCTTCTGGATATCCATTACATAAATAATCGGAGCCCGTCGGAGAATTTAAAATTCAGCATGTTATTACATATTAAAATATTTCTGTTCATTTTTCGAACAGCAAGATCAATAACTCTTTTGATTGCATTGATACGATTTGTAAAAAATTTATAACAGCGTTTTCGACTTTGCACCTTTACACTTAGTTCCACTGAGAGAAAATTTCCATCATTTAAAGCACCCATAAGCTGTGGCCATACTCACACTCCACAGTATCCATAGTACAGGATGAAGATATATTTTATTTAGGGCCTGAGTTAAAAAATGTTAAATGCTGTAAGTGTATTATAAGTTTTGTGGCTGTAAGTTTGCAAAAAGAAGAAGAAGACAATAAGAAGTTTTTAACCTCTATTCTTGCATTCGGAAACAAAAAGTCGAAACACCATTAAATGGAGGAATTTAAAGAAAAGTTCTGCATATTTTGCCTTAACACCATGAAAAATACACATTTTGAAGCAATAGAAAAAGATACAATTCAAATGTTAGAAGTTCTTCTGAAACGTGTAAGTTTTCAAAAATTAAGTACGATATACTATTGTCTATCACTAATACCTGTTTTGCATTGCGAATTTATTTATAGTTTTATGCATAAAGGGTAAAAAACAGAATAAAGTACCATTACAATTGTTTTGCATTTAATCTAGTTAAAAAAATAACTAGTCTCAACTTATTCAAGAAAATGTATTCATTTAAATTTGTCTTTATTTACTTGTTTGCAAAGTTGGTAATAGTTGTTTTTGTTTCAAAGAAATTCACGAAGTTTAAAACTGTAAAACCAATTCACGAATTTTATGAATTAATTCATTCGTGAATTCTTTCATGAATAAATTCTTAATGTAAAACAGCTATAATTTGTGAAGAACTTTCTGAATAAATTCATAAAGTTATTTGACAGTAGATTTCATGTCACTTGTCGAGCTTCTTCACAAAGCGATTTATTCATGAAGAAATTCGTAATGGAATATTATTATTTTTCAGTTTGATCAATGAAAAAAAAGTTCGGTACAATTTTAGGGGTAAGTCATCCCCAATGAACACCTTGTAGTGCTTCAATTAACTTTATATCATAGTCAAAGAAGACCAGTAATAAACCTATGTAAATCCATCAAAGTTGTTTGATCTAAAACATTTGATAGTTTTGATATCATCAAACTATTTTGATCAAACTGTCAAATTAATAAAATAATTATTAAAAGTTATTCCTAAGAACGGCCCCAGATGCTATCACTTATTTTTTGCATAATATTTTGTTTGTTTTTATAAAAATCATGATGATGTCTTCAAACTATTATAATCAAACAAATTTAATAAAAATAACAGAGCACAAGATGTTTTGAAGATTTTTTCATTTTTGAAAATTTGATTAATTCGTTTAAATTTACATGATGATTTGATATTAAATTTAAATATTTACTTTTACTACTTCTTGACTTTTTTTACCTAAATCCTTATTTAACATCAGTCTCTATTCTTTTTAATCAGAACATCTAAGAAAAATATGTTATTCTTTTATGTTTGTATAGTGAATTTGTATGGATTGTTATGCATCAAAACACCCAACTGTCAATTAGTTTGATATTGCTCTTTTTATTTCAGGATTTGGATCGTGAAAGCAAATATTTAATGTGCAGTGCATGTTCTTTAAAGTTACTTGCAGCATTCAAGTTTAAACTAACAACTGTCTACATAGATAACACCATTAGATCGTATGCTGATTCACAAAATATGTTACCGGTTGATTTAAGAGATATATATGTTAAGGAGAAAGGAAATAGGCATTTATCAAGCGCATTTAGTGATCACAAAGTGTGTCGATTATGTATGCAGCTGGTGAGGGACGAATTTGCCTCGTTTCATCAAATTGAATCGGATTTAATTCACTCGTACATTCCTGAACTTGTAAGTGTATATTTTATTTAAACAAGTCAAATAGTTTTATTTACATATTGAGCATTGAAATTTAGTGTATGTTAATTCGCCAAAGTGCAAACTGCTTTTTTTTTGCTATTTTGCTCTTCTGACACGGACAAAATGGCAGTCATGAAAGAAGTGTTACCTTCCACACTTGTTGCATAATTATTTTAAAATTTCATTTTTAGGATTTTGGTGTCACGGAAGATCCCATCATCTGCAAGTTATGTTTGGATTCTCTGACCGCCCACACCAGTTTTATCAAGAATTGTTTGGACTCCATGGAAAAACGTAACAGTACCGGTGGTAATAACGACCAGGATATTAAACCAAACGTATTATTATTAGATTCATATGTTAAAACTGAGGAGATCGAACTAGAATATAAAGATAAGGCTTTAACGAAAGCTGTCGAAATTGGAATAGAAACTGAAACAGACATACAGGAAAAGTCGATAAAGTGTGAGGAAATGGAATCTGAAGAAAGTAGCGAAGACAGGTAACAAAAGTCACATCATAATTTCTATTAAAAAAAAAAGGTAACATGTAAGAGAGTAACAGTGATGTTGTGACAAGTTTTAATGTGATTCAACGAAACAAAAAAATAACAAAAAATTGAATTTTGTAAGAGACCATTTTAAACTTTTGTAAAAAAACATTTGTGATGTTCTTTTCGTTTAACTACTAACTTGCATTAATTTTAAACTGTAAATTGCAATTGTCACTGACGTGCCTGTTCAGGCAGTGTTTAGCAGCTGATGGCGGTGAGTAATATCACAGGAACATACTCTGGATTTTATGTTTTTTTTCCTTATTTTTTACGTGGGGAAAACTCCACGAGAATCTTACCTTCGGTTTAGAAGTAAGCACTCGGACAGCTACAATAAAGAAAGTTTAATTCCAGGGGTCTGTTATATTTCTTTTATTTTAACTATGATCGAAAGTAGTGTTCATTAGTTTTCGAAATATTTGAAAAATACCGAAATTTTGGAAATCCCTTTTTATTTCATTTCAACCTTGTTTAAGGTGATATTGAAAAAAGAAGAACACTTTCTCATGACCACTTTTTGTCCTCTATCAAACGGCATAATCAATTTTTATATGTAATGTTTCGTATCTCCAGGACCATCATCAACTTTTTTATTACTTTTTTTGCAAGCCTCATGACCCCCAATACTATACTGCCTCAGTCCGAACCAGATTCAGATGTTTTGTCTCGAAAAATTCATCTTCAGTGTATTCTTTCTAAATTTATCTAAATTATTTATTTAGATTTCTTTGTTTATTGCATTATCGTACACTGTAAGTGTCCTTAGACCCTGTGAAATCCATCTAGTTATTTAAACTATTACCACCACGCATTACAATAAAACATTTATTATTATTAACTATTACTATCACTTGGTCATACATTACTCAATAAGTTGTTGCGTCAAAATTAAAACATTATTACAATTTTAATTTTATTGTGACAAATTAATGAACAACCAAAACGCCAACTGAATATAATATTATTCTTTAAAAAATTTCAGTAATGTTCAATAACATTTTCGTTTTGGCAAAGGTTGAAAATGAAGATCAGCGTAACATTATCGGAATTTATTATATCTGTAACTGTGAAAGAGTATGTCAGATGTATTTGTATGAATATCCTGGAAAAAAAAAAATAGATCTGAATTTGTTTGAATTTTGAGCATTCGAGAAGCCTAGAAATAACTATGGACACTGGAATATAACTCTAATAATGTTTTATTTTAATGCGTGGTGGTAACAGTTTAAATGACCAGATGGATTTCACATGGTCTAACGACACTTTCAGTGTACGATATTTCAATAAACAAAGATAGAGAAAAATTTAGATAACGAGGCTGAAATGAAACAAAAACGGATTTCCAAAATTTCGGTTTCTTCCAAATATTTCGAAAACAAATCATGTTTGCCTTGATTTTGTAGAAGCATAATGTTGGTCCCCTGATTACGCAGCTTAAATGGGGGCAAAATTGAGATTAGTTTTCGAAATATTAAAAGAAAAAAACGAAATTTGGAAATCCATTTTTGTTTCATTTCAGCCTTGTTTGAGGTGATATTGAAATTCTTATTTCAACACTTTCTCATGGCAACTTTTTACCCTCTATCAAATGGCATAATCAATTTTTGTATGTAACGTTTCATCTTTCCAGGACCATCATCAACTTCATTTTTTTAAATACGACCCTGGAAATTTTATTACATTTATTGCAAGACCCCCAATACTGTACTGCCTCAGCTGAAACCAGATTCAGACGTTTTGTCTCCAAAAATTCATCTTCAATGTATTCGTTCCAAATTTTTCTAATTTTTTTAGATTTCTGTGTTTCTTCAATTATCGTGCACTTTAAGTTTTGTTAGACCCTGTGAAATCCACCTAGTTATTTAAACTATTTGTAACAGCCTGTATACATGTTCCAAATGTCTCTGAAAATGAAAACAGTAATTATGGGTTATTCTAAATCTAGACATAAATTTAGTCAGTTAGTTAGCACAACAGAAATTAAGCGGAGTTATTACCAGCCAAGGAGAAAGCGTAAGCAGCATTGTGCAACAGTATTATAAATAAGCAAACGGTAATCAGGGAAAGGGATATTCCAGTTGAAAGGAGGCAAAGTCTATCGGACGTGCATATTTGGTAGTGCTACGGGTGAGAAATTTCTCCTGGAAACGGTGGTCTTCATACTCAACTTCCTGAGTATATGGCTATGTTTAACACGTTACTCATTTGGCATATTCTAATAATTATATCTTCATTTTCATAGACACGTCAAACCTTAATGTCATTACAATGCTGAAAAAGTGTTCTGTTCAAATATGACGTAATATAGAGGGCATTCTATTTAAATAATCATAAGTTTGACTTGCCGTGGCTTTAAACACCAACACAAAATTGAATATCTTAATTAGTCCAGGCGGTATCTGTTTCGGATTGGGTAAAACACATGTGATAGGAGATTTTTGCTTTAACGGCTTCTAAATAACATCAGAAATGATAATACTTCTATGCAAATAAAAAAAACGTGGGCTTAATTGTTACTGCAAAAAAGTATAAAAAAATTGCAAAAAAATTAATTTTTTTCTTGGATTTCTCGTCGACAATTTAGCAACTATTCATTTTAGACAAAAATGGAAGAGGAAATAAAGTTTTGTAATTAAATTTTGATAAAGATAGTTAGTTGCAATTCGAAATAATAATTATTGTTATTGCAAAAATCGGAAAAATCATTTAAAAAATTGCAAAAAATGCTAGTTTATTTGTGAATTTTTTTCAGACACTTGAATAATACCTAGGATCTTCATACTTTTCCCAATTAAACTTCTTAGAGCATAGAATTATCACACCAAATTTCATCCAATTCGGTTTGATAGTTTTTACATAATACCTAATTGTTAAATTTTTTTTTTAATTAAATTTTCAAAATCAAATTTCTACAAATCTAAAGCCTTTGAATACTTGAAAATTTCATCACAAAAAGAAGAGCTCTCAAGCTTTAAAATGGTTTTTGAAAAATTCAAATCGGACAATTAGGTGAGCCGTGGTGATTGTTTAAACATTTTCGCAATTTTTACGCTTATAAACAATTGCAATATTTTTTTTCAAATTATTTTTTATTTTTAAATATGGTTTGAAAGTGCTCGGAAAGACGAGTATTTAAAAAAAAAACTGATGATCCGCCCATTATTTTCGGAGTTATAGCCCGTTAAAGTTAACCCTTATTTACAGCAAAACTATAAGGGCTGTTTTTTGAACTAATAGGTTTGTCATTCCGAGTACTTTTTAGATATAAGAAAATTTTCAAAATTTGCAATCACGGGTGTCCCATTTAAAATGTCACTCAAAGATATTCAAGACCACGTGAAATCAATTAGGGGAGCAAACACACAACTACTCCGATCTGAATTCTCGAGTTCAAAACTGCGATGCTCGAAAAAATTTCAGCTCAGCTTCTAATGGACCAATTTCGATGATTTTTTTTAAATCGACGTCTCGCAACTTAAAAAATTCAATTATCATATTTTCAGCTACCTTTTATTATTAATTATTGGACTTTTGACATTTCAGTAACAAAAAAATTATTCTATTAATCATAGCATTCTTTGATTAAATGTTCAAAAACATCACCTCTAACCAGTTTCTGCAGTTTTAGTTTTTTATTTATTTGGAAATTTTATTGCTTTATTTATTTTATTTTTGTTTTTTTTTTCACGTGGCAAAATACTCAAATAAATAAAGAAAATTATTCAAAACCTGTCACAGCTTTGCTGTTACACTTTAGATATTCTAATGAACAAATTACATTTGTTTTTCAGCCCCCAGTCAGGACACCATCAACAAACATTAAGCGACACTACTGTAACTGAATGTAATACTAAAAATGACCATTTAACGGAAAATATCATAGGGTACAAATGTTGTATCTGCGAGTACCAGTGCAGTCTCAGAAAAGACATGGAAGTGCATGTTTCGATACACAAAAACCCTCGCGACTTGTACAAATGTAACTCCTGCAGTTACACATCAGACAGCATCCAAAATGTCGAACGACACATCCTCGTGCACAAAGACCCGTCCGAAATACAAACGTGTATATGCAGGTTATGCAAAGACAGACCAAAACCGAAGAAAAAAGAAAGACGCCCTCCGGAAAAGAAAGAATTCAAGTGCAATTTGTGCGGGTTCGTGGCGAAACGCAGGTACCCCTTCGAGATGCACGAATGGTCGCACCGCGACCCCTCTCAGAGGCCGTTTCAATGCGACCTGTGTGAATACAGAGCCAAAAGCCAGTCCGATGTTAAAAAGCACAGACTTAAACACATAGACCGCAGGGAGCTCGATATGTTCAAGTGTACTTCTTGCGATTTCGAGGCTAGAATCAAAAGCGACCTTAAGAAGCACATCAGCAGGCGACACACTTCGGAACACAAGACTTACAAGTGTTACCTGTGTGAGTTCGAGACGAAATATAAGTACAACCTGGAGATTCACGTCTTTAACCACAAGGATGTTGCTGAAAGTCGCAGGTTTATGTGCGACGTGTGCGGGCATAAGTTGAAGACCAAAAGGAGTCTTCAGATTCATCAGTTGAAGCACACGAAACCGACAGATTTACAGATGTTCGTTTGTGGTTACTGTCAGTACCAGGCCAAGTATAGGGAGAGGCTCGCGGCGCACATTAAGATGTGTCCTGCAAAAAAGGTTCAGGAAACACATGCGAGATAAAAATGTACGGGTCACTAAGCGGATGTATCGACTGTATGGTGGTGATACACAAGATTTAAGAAAAAATGGCAGTCATTTTTTGTAATGTTAAATATCAAAATAATAATAACAATAGTAATAATTTGAGTAAAAAATTTAATTATTACATTAATTAGACTGTTGTTTCCAGAGTATTCCAAAGCTTTTCCCAAGGTATTTTTCCCGAAAAATATCTTTAGTAGGCAAAAACAAACTAAAGCATCTTATTGGTAAGTTGCCTAATCTGTAATGTTGAAAGTGGGATTGCGCCATCTGTACACTACATAATAATTTATAACTTTTTCTATTGTTTTTTTTTCTATATTTTGTTGTTATGTATTGCATTCTAACAAAAAAAAAGCTTCATAACGTTTTTTGTCTATTTATACTCAGAAAATTATATTGAAAACTCTTAATTGAGGATTCTATTGTCAGTTGTTCAAAGTTGTTTTATTGTAATAACCATAGACCAGTGAAGGTGGTTAAAATAATGTGATTTATGGGGGAACTGAGGCTCGCTTAAACCGGTTTGAAGTTTCTGTTCGCGGTTAATATATGTGCCGCATACTACGCGGGTAGTATGTGATGTCAGTGTGAGGGATAGTACAAAGGCTTTAAGGACAAGGACAAGGCAGGTATTAATTTAAAGTAAATAAAAAACAACTTCCTTATAACAAAACAAAGTAAGACTAAATTTAACGTAATTTAATAGATACCTATTATATTGTCAATATACCTACATAGGTAGGTAATAATGAACCTTTCACGATATTGTTTTATCTCTTGAAACGCATTCTTTCAAGACGTAATGACGTAAACTACTGCTCTAAACAAATTAAAATTGCTAGTCAAAGAATTTCTGAATTAAGAAACGAAGAAAAATTTAAAAATATTTTTAATTATGCGAAAAATATTACTGGACTACCAGGCAAAAGTTGCGACGAATTAGAAATATATTTCCCTTTAATTAAGTATCTACTCGTTTTGGAAATTTACATGATTTAAATGTTCTTAGTAGATTTCTCAACATTTCCCGAAAAATCGTTTGAGTGTTGATTACAAATGTATCCAAACGTTTTTTAAATAAATAGATTGAAAAAAGAACTTAATATTTTGTACAGAGACGAATAATTTCGTAATGTAAAGGTTTAAAAAATGGTAGAAATATTATACAAGATATTTAAAATGGTATTTTCAGAAGCATACAAATTATTGTTTTGCCTAGTTTTAACAATTCCTGCAACAAGTGTCTCGGTAGAAACTTTTTGTGTCTTAAGTTTATTAAGACTTAGGTAGGTACCTACTTAAGAAATAAGATGACCCAAGAGTGCTTCAGTCTTACTGCCAATCCCCAATTTTATGAAGACGTATAAGTAAAGCAAATTTAGAAGACGGACGAATAAACCTGTTTTATAAAAACATTCACTATATTTTAAAAATATTTTGTTAAGTGGAGGCAAACGAAAAGCTGGCAGCAATGTTTTATGTGTTATATATATGTAAACGTTTATTGTTTGTATTTAAAAGCAACGGAATGCAAGAAAAGGTATCCAGTTTTTGTACCGACACTCATTTCCTTGCTAGCTAGCAGTATAGTATGTAGTAAGATTTTCAGCAATAAACGGGGTTTAACTAACTAATCACGAATTTTGTTTCTGAAGTTGTTTTTGGCTATTCACAGTACCAAAACATAATATGTAAATAGATAAGTTGGGTGGCTACCTTATGAAAATTTGTTTTTATATTTTTTTATATTTTATACATGTATCACTTTGTTTTTTTTGTTAGCTATAATTTGATTGTAAATACAATTTTTAAAAGTTTTGATAATAATATAATACTATAATTTTTTAATTTACGGTTATAGTAACGCTATTGGCGAAGTTCTCCATAATAAAAATAAAGGTAATTATTTACTTTAGTGGCACCACCTCCAATTTTCACGAAATTTTGTCTACCCCCTATTTTCGATGGTGCTGAACACGAATCTGTAGTTTTTTTTGTGCGGTCGAACCTATTTTTCGAGAAAATTTTTTTTCAAAATTCTAACCTGGATATTTTATATAACACTACGTAAAACTCTGTATATTTTATGTAGCTTTCCAGAACATCTGTTATGAACAATTAACACTGTTCACGAAACACATTTTCGTAAATTTCAAGTAAAAAGATACGTATTTAATAAATAAGAATTTTGCAGTTTGAATCCACCATTTGTAATTCGTGATGACAACATTGAGTTCTCCCACTCTCATTCAACTCTGTTCATCCCACATAAAGATACTATAATTTTATTTATTAAATACATATTTTTTTTTAGTTCAAATTTGGGAAAATGTGTTTCTTAAACGATGTTCATTGTTTATTACAGATGTTCTGAAAGCTACATAAAATATACAGAGTTCTACGTAGTGTTATCTGAATTATTCAGGTTAGAATTTTGAAAAATTTTTTTCTGAAAAACTGGGTTCGACCGCAAAAAAAAACTTCAGATTCGTGTTCAGCACCATCGAAAATAGGGGGGTAGACAAAATTTTGTGAAAATTGGAGGTGGTGCCACCAAAATAAATGGCATGGAAATTTATTTATATTTATTATTTATTTATTTGAGAGCAGATTAATAAAATAACCAGATAATTGCATATTATTTTTTATAAAATCTGAATGAAAACCCTGCTCGTGAACGTGAACATCATTTTTCCTATAATATTGTAAATACAACTAAAAATTTTCAGATGTATTTAGTCGTTTGAATTTGAAAATTAAAAAATTTTTGCCTGCGGCGCTTTTTTTTCTTTCTTGACCACTAGTGAAAAAGCTACGGGCCTCACCTATTCACAATGCTATGAACCGCCACTGCCATACACAGATTTGACAGGCAATGGTTGGCTTACCTTTGCGGGGCCCAGCCAGGACAAAAGGAGGTCCCACAAAGCGCCTACACCGGCCGCATTTGCGGTCGGGGTAGACGACGGATGGGGCCCACCTACGAAGGCTGTCCAGGCCTACACGAGATGAGGCAGGATAAAGAGGGATAATCCCCCTCGATCCCAAATCATTGAGGCCAATTTCTGGCCATGGAATAATGGCGGCGATCAGTTAAAATTACTGCAAGCTCTTCTGACGTAGTTGTTTCACATAGTTAATATTTTTGCTTTGCAAAATGCATAAATTGAAACTATATCGATGCTTCGTTTAACATAATTATTATGTAAAGTGAATTTTTCCTGAAGCATATTGTAAGGTAAGCACAATTCAATTGAAACTGTTTAATTTGTATTCAGTTTGATATTAAAAAATAATTCAGAATGACATATTTAAGAGGGGGCAAAATTTTGACGTTAAAGTGTCTTATCTTATTTTAAGAATGAGGGAAATAATCATAACCTCTTTAAACCTACGAAATTTAATTTTATCTCCACTTCAATGTCTCTTTTGATCGTTGAACACGATTCCACATATATTTCACATACATTAAATCACAGAAAAAAATTTAAAAAATCTTTCACATGACTTTTATTCAAAAGCTAGAAGTTAGTTTTTTGTACCGGAATACCGATGTACCGTTATTTGCTTTACCGGTATTTGCCTGCACTAGCTCCATCTGCCTTGCGCATTTACCTCTTTAGAGTCCGTCTATAGTTTACAAGGTGTATGGTTGGACCGCCAATACCGCCATTTTTAGGTACTACTCTACATGACAGACTACTCGATCTAGATTTCTTTCTATATTCGTGAAAAAACTATCACCTAACCTTAATTTATATAAATTTTGGAATAAATAATAACTTTTTTGTTAATTGTAGTATTATAAATATAACAGTAACATTAACAGTTGTAAGTTTCATTGATTTAGCGTTACTGTGACGAATCTGGAAACACGTGACGAAACATTCGATAAAAGCGAAGGTAATGTTATTCAAATAACTGCATATTACATGTGAAATTACCCATTTTATGTTTTACAGAATTTAGCAGTCCAATGGTAGTGAAATGGATCAGTTTGGGAAACGGGAAAACCTTAACCAAGCTCAAAGTCCCGTTACAAATAACTGTAATAAACCTACATACTTAACCACATACCAGCAATTTCTTTCTAGCCAAATACAACCTTATGAACAAGTACAAGGCACTACAGAAACAAAAGGACAGCGATTGAACGAAAGAATTGTTTTGTTAGAGGAGATAGCTATACAAAAACCGCATATACCATTCTTGGAATCCAAACAAGTCGAGCCTGTGAATGATATGCCTGTGTCAAAATGTAATAATAGTAAGCAAAAAACGGCTGAGACTGATGACAATTTGTCCCCGAAAACTACTGTCCAAAGGACATTACGTCGCAACATCAACCATAACCAGAAACGTATCAGTCAGGGGACCCCAACAGGTGATGCAAGTGGTATTACTCCTAATGAACCTCCTACAGATGTAGAAGATGAATCTATCAAGGCGTACGAGTGCAAAATATGCTCCTTTGAGACGATTTATGATGGCATTTTCAGAGAGCATATGCTCACGCATAAGAAGCGAGAGACGTTCCATAAGTGCCCTAAGTGTAATTTTAAAATGAAGTGTAAAGCTGGCGTTAAGAAACACATGGTGACGGAAGGTAGTGGGACTGTGTACTGCGGACTTTATTCGTACAGTAATGAGTGTAAGGGTAACCTGGCTTCGCATTTGAAGGTGCATAGAAAGGATCGTAATAGGCGTCTGGCATCATAACATCCGTATCCATCTAAGTAGTATATGTTGTATTATCCGTTATGTGCATAGAAACGTGGGGTGTCGTTAGGGACCTAATATAGATTGAAAAGTAATAAAACACCTGGATAAATATTATATTACCTTACTATTTTTTGTATGTCATTTATATTTTAAGAGTTTCCCGCCTTATTTCTGATTTCTCCTAATTTATTTGCTTATTGTTGCGTATTCATAAATTCAGACATCCCAATCGTCTTTTAACTCCGTCATATATGCAGTACATTGGACAGGTTTATGCATTTCCGTCATAGGTAAAGATAGATATAGAATAAGTTCAAAGCTGCCCTAATATAACCATCGATCGTATAATGGCCGCCATTTTGATACTTGGAAAAATCGGCAAATTTAAATTTAAATTTTAATCAAATAAATTAAATATTTAAATCAAATAGGCATAAAGAAGACACTAGGTAATTTTTTATTTCCAAATTTTTTTTTCATAATTACATATTTTCTAATTACTTACATATTGACATAAATTTTAGGTTGTAAAAGAGTACGGACCCTGTAAACATTTGTTTGAAGATAATGAAACTGTTCATATAAGATAATTGAGCCTTTTCTTGTCCTAGTCTCATTTTAAATTTTACTCGTTAACACTTTCAAATTTCAACCAAAACGTCCAGACAAATTTCACCACTTTGGATGCTAGTATCAACTTTATAATTCCCACCGTGCATTTTGTAACAGATAACAGCGTTAGCAACGTGTGTTAAATATATCTCAATGATGGAAATTTAGATATAATAATTATTTTAAACGTATATTAAACATTACATGTAAATTTTTATCAAAATAACTTTTGGAGCAAAATAAATTAATAAACAGCATGTTCTTTTACAAGTTGTTTGATTTTTTACATTAAACGATTTTGCGAACACTTTCGATTAATATACAGAGTGTACACTAAAATGTGTCAAAAATGAAAGAGCAATGATTTCTGGGTTCAAATATATTTATTTGCCCTTGAAGTCTTGGAGATACAGGGTGTTAGATAAAAAAAATAGATATACCTAAATATCTTAACAGAGGTTTCAAAATAAAATTTTATGTGGCCAATAAATGCGTAAAATAGGGTGGGCAGGAATTGGTGGACAATTTTGGATTTGGGTAAATCTTCCAAAAAAGAATTTCAGCCTGTACAGTTATTAGTTCTTACTGTCAAGAGTTGAAAATTGATTTTTCATAGTAATCCTGTTTCTAATTAAATTTGGATAATTTTTGAAAAAAAGGTATTTTTGAAACTTTTCTATTAATTACCATTTACTTTTAGGGATTAGAGACAGTCATGACCCTCTTTTAATTTTCTTTACCATTTTTAAGATTTCTGTACTTTTTCAAGCGAAACATGTATGATTGATCACAAACACATTTTTCCGCAAACGCAGTACGGCCAATACAGCTAAAATATTTAAAACTTTATGGACGAGTTAGTGTCACTTTTGGTTATACCGGAAATCGACAATAACTTTCTTATTTTAAATGGGACACCCTATATATTATTAAATTTTCGGATTCTACGTGAAATTTGAGGGTCACTTTATTAAATATTCCCTATATCTAGGAATTATAGAAAATTTGACAGATGCAAGGGTCTGCGGAGATACTAATAACTCTTTTCAGGAACGCGATATCAAATGGATTTTTGGTACATCTAAAGGGCATAAGTAACACTAAATCATGGTATACCAACAAATTAAAACGTTTAATACTAGGTGTTTCATTTTTGCTGTTACATATTGATAAATTCAAATATAATAGTTATAACTTTGTTAACTTAAAATGGAACACCCTGTATTTTTTCACTTTGTCGTATGCAGATTGAAATTTCCTTTCTAGTCAAATAAGCATTATTAGGGTTGCCATTACTACTTTTAGAGAAATTTGCAATGTTCTATTTTTTGAACAGTTTTTCTCGTATCATACATGTTATCAAATGCCTGAGGATCGTTTAAATTATACTAATGAGGATTATTTTAATTTGTTTGTTATTTATGGACGATGTGACATAATAATTTCAAGAACATGTAGAGAATTTGTTGTTCGATATCCAGAAAAACGAAGACCTTTATGAAACACATGAAGGCAATTTATGTCCCATTTAAAATAATAAAGTTTATGTTGACGTTCGGTATAAACGGAAGTGCCATATAAAGTGTGTTGGCCCTACTCATCAGGACACCCTGTATACATTTAAGTTAACTTAATTAATACAACTGTATAAAAGTTAATAATACTCTTAAATTTTTATTATATACGACTCAAATTATAAATTCCATGCTTGTGTTGAGTTTATAAAAAAATTAGTGCATGATATAAGCCCTATATCAATTTCCATTTTTCACCACTATTTCCCAAACTCCAACATGAATATTTAACAAAGAATGATTATTTAAAAAATTATACACTGATTGCCAGAAAATTTGCACCAAATAAAGAATATTTTTGTGGTTTTAGAAAAACTTTTTCTTTTAATAATTTTTGCTTGTTTGAACACCAAATAACGGGAATCTACATATACTGTTTTTTTTTTATATATTTTGAAAAATTTGTGGAATTTTAAGTAATAATGTTAATAACGTAACATACAAAATCGACAATATGAACAAATCTGTTAAGAACTTTATTATGGGAGTTTATATTTACTATTTACTACATTAATAATATTGTTTAAATTTATTTAAACATATACATATTCCATTAGCTGAAAAACGTCCATTGAATGTCCTTTTGAGTTTGGGAAATAGTAAAAAGTCACAGGGGACAGTGCTTCCAATACACAAAAAAAAATCAATTCAATAGACAAGATGCAACACACGCAATTTGAAAATTCCCATTACTTTTTGATCTAAGCTCCCATAATCGATACAAAAACACTTACCTCATATACTAAAATTGTTAAAAAACTATCTAGTATTGAATAACATTGTTTGCGATAACTTAAACTTAAGGGAGGGCAGAAATATTTAGGTACAAAGTATTGAAAAAAAAGAATCAAATATAATTGGGTAGTTTTATTTTAAGTACCTACTATAGAAATATATATAATTTTTTATAGTGAAAGTCCACTTTTCCGTTTTTGTCAGAAATATACTTTTCAATAACTTTTTCATTGAAGCTGGGTATTTCACGCACCATTGATTTTTTAATAGTTAGCATTGCAAGTGCTGTTAGACTGTCTTCATCCACGGTACTACTTAAAAATGCTTTAATACGCTTTAATGTCGAAAAACATCTTCCTGTTTCAGATGTGGTCGTGGGAATAGTAACCAATATTTTTAACACTTTAACAATTTCTTTAAAAGCAGCATCTAAACTGAAATACGTGATAAAATTTTATGTTTGCAAACAACTGGAGGAACTTCTGTTAATTTCCTTGGTCTCTTGGGAACGTCCTATTATTTCTTTCCTGGAGTAAAATACCCCTAGTTCCATTTTCAAAATTTCCTTATCAATTACAGGATATGCTTCACAAAATTTATCGATTTCTTTCAAAAGCAGTCTTTTTTTATATGTTTCATAGTTTTCCGTTAAAAATAATGAGGCACCACGTAAATGATTTTTAAAAGAAAAGCGATTTCTCACTTCTGTAATTATGTCGCATATGTCTCTTGCAGAAATATAAATATTTTCTTTGTTTAATCTGCGTCGTTTTCTTGGAATTTCTGTATTTTCTGTTTCAATTTTTGTATGTGTCAAATCGTGTGTAATATGTGCAATTTCTCTTTTGAAATTATCTATGCACATTTGAACTTTTACCACATCTGTTTCAATTGTTTGTCAACATGCGGCATGACTTTTGAAAAAAAAATGTAACCAAAACAAAAATGTATCATCTAACCATTTATAATTAATCCAACAGCACCTGCCACCGTTTCGGTATTATATTTTTTGGGTGTACCTGATATAATATTTTGAAAGCACTCAATAATGTCATCTTTGTTGTTGTAGACGCACTGTATGATACAAGAATGAAAATTCAATGTTGTTTGTGAAGCTCTTGGTATGCATTTATCCGAGATATTCTGAAGAGCTGCCATTCTATGTGGTGATTGGGAAAAAAATGCCGATTGTTAAATGTTCATTGAACAGCAATCAAAAATACAAACTAAAACAATATCCTATGAATATTTAGTTCACAACTTAAAAGATATGCACTTTAGCATATGTACTCTAGCATAGTTAAAATGTTAATGATCTCGGCTCTCGGCTCCCTAGTTCCTGATACGTAAGCCGTCCTGTCAGCACTATTTGAGGTTCCACCAACATGACATCACCGGCTTATCTCGATACTTTACACGATATACCATACAAATTTCCAAAAAAAATTCTCACACCAGTAATAAAGCTGTTCTAAAATGCATTTTGACAACTCATCTGAATCTTGACTTTCTGGGTTTGCAAATCCCCAAAATCGCTCAAAAATTTTACTATTCAACTCGTTTGAGTTGATACATCATATGTTCTATTGTCAGCCATTACTGCGAGAAACAAGGATTTTTTAATTTCTTCTGAAATATGTTCACGACACACCTCCAACATATATTGTAGAATTTCATTCTGAATTGCTTTCGATGCACTTTTAAATACTGTTGCTTCTTGAATATGACTATTAAAGGCACAATAAATGTTCGCTAGAAAATTGACTAATTCTAAAAATACGCCTCTATTTGGAGAGTCCTCTTTCTAGTTATGACCAAGAAGGGCAAGGTTGCACCCCAGATTAATGTTTGAATTAATCTGGGGTTGCACGCTCCGCACAGTCTTAATATATCTATTATCTTGCAAACTTATGCTTAAAAGCATTTTTATTATTACTTTGTCGTTGTTCTTGCACTATATTTAACTGTGGAACTGGACGGCCATTTCTTTTTATTTCGAGTTTTTCGCTTAAACTCAAACGGCTAAATATCAGGTTCTTAATTTCATTCACTTTCATAGTTTAAACTTCTACAATCTTTAAAAAACAAAAGGAACAATAGCTTTGTTCTAATCTAAGTGTATTAGAATTAGTTTCCAACAGTCCGACGCAGTCGCATTTGATCCAAACTATGAATTTTGAACCTTATGTAAGCATTGCCATTTCTATTATCTATGATTGCCATATGCGCATGCGTCTGACTGTTGGAAACTGTTTTGGATTCTACTAGGAACAAAGCTAATACGTTAGTAACAAAATTTTACACCATACGTAAACAAATTACGTTTAATAAGAAAAAAACGATAATAAACAACTATTATTTGCTTAAGGGCGGACTAAACACAAACAGAGCCCAAACTAGAGATGGGAATAACATGACTGATTCCTACTGAGCCCTGAGCCGGTTCCTTCTCAAAGATCTGTCCCGGATCTCGGAACTTTACGTAGCAAGGTGCTGAGCATAGACCACCTAGACTGTCTGTATCTAATTCCGATCCAATGCACGGGTACCAGTGAATGCAAATTGCGGGAAAGTGAAGTGTGCGAGGTAATCTGACCGCGCATACTTCGACAGATCCGGCTTAAGCAATATTTTTACACTCGTGACAAATATTCATTTTTCACGTTTGGAATTCAAAAAATATTATATTTTAATGTCTTGTTTATATTAAATAAACTTACAAAATAATTTAAATACACCTATTGTCCTTTAAGTGATGTTAGTTTAACATTTGTCTCTTCATAGATTTTACTGAAATAAATATTTTGACTTCATGATTTTTCTCACATCAATATACTTTAGAAGTTCTATTAAATAATTACAATGGTTAGGGAAATTATCAAATTGATGTTCATTCTAATTTTCAAATATGTTCACATTTAAAAAGATTTTATAACATGAAACACAATTTTATTTTTCTGTAGCAATGGGTGTACTGTTTTTATAGTTAATTAAAAAAATATATTTTTTCTGTTTCTTAAATTGTCATTTTTCTTTTTTAAACAATGTTTATTTTCTGCCAGTTATCGTTCTTTTGTTTATTGGAAATGAAGGAAAGCCGCCTAACATCATATTTTAATTTCTATTTTCTTGGGGTATCATCACTAAAATGTTTACATAATCTTTTCATTATCCGTTATATTCAAAATTGACATGGAAGATGTACTACTTAGGTCAGAATATGATGACTGCCACGTGGTAGGTTGGCTGATACAAGACGTAAAAGAATCTGAAGATTGGGAGTTCACGTTCATAAAAAACTATTAGTGAAGATATTTTTTTATAAAATTGTGCTTAATATTGCATAGAAAATAAGAACCACTTTCTAAAATTTGGCTATAACTTCATTTTATAGTTCAACTGAAAAAAAATAGTGAATTTTTTTATTCGTTTAAGAAATTATCTCACATTCCCGATATTTCCAGATTTGTGAAATTCCCTGAAAATTACATGTCCTCCAGATATTGGTTAGACTCATGTACATTGGTATCATGATTACAATCCATCCTGCAGCTTTGTGGGGATACAAAATAAAAATAAAATCCAAAACACAATAAAACAATTCTTATATTCTTCAATAGGTACCTATTTTTAAATTTTATTCACAGAACTTACAGTATACCTACAGTTAAACATGATTTTAATGCTAAAGCTTTAAAAATATTTACAATTGGCATTCACTGTTTTCCAACATGTATCCTAAACAGACAATTGCCATTTTTTTAATGGATTTTTTTCCATCTAATTCAGATTTATTTTGCATATATTTGTGGGAAGAAATGAAGGAAAGTAGTGTATTAATTTGACTTTCTAGATAAAAAAATATATGGAGTATCTTGATTTATAGAAGTAACCCTGGTAGCAAAATCTTGCACAAGACACTTGTACAAGACTGCCGTGTACCTGAAATCAGCATCAGGTTTACTGCAAGATTCATCGTGCAATTGTCTTGATCAAAGCCTTCAATGGATTTGATTCAGGGCACTTGAGCAGAAAGGGGTAAATTAAAGCAAGTGACTATGTTGCAGACTTACATTAGAATTAAGTAAGACATATTGTACTTGACTTATACTAATTCGCCCCTTTGGACTCAAGTACTTTTGGTTAAGTCTGGTGCAAGTATTGTAAAAGTATCTTGCGTAAGAAACGATATAAATTTCAGCAATAGACACAAAACAATCACACAATTTGGCTGTTTCAAGTAAACTTGGAACAACTTGTATTAGAATTGCACACGATTGTGCTATCAGGGAAACTTTAACATAGGTAAAATTGATATGAAGTGTAAATATTGTTTTTAATATATACCTAAAAAGGACCATTTGGAAACTTGATCTCAAAATTGTAGGTAAATCCTAGCTATGATCTTTTTAGGGGCCAACTTTTGAAAACCTGTATTAATGATTTTTAATTTTAATTTTTTCAATTTATTTTATTTAATTTTTTTGATATTTTTCACAGTACACTCAATATGAACATCAAAATTGTCAAAGTCACTACCAAATATTACTCCTATGATAAAAACTTGCTCGATACTTTCACACAACAAATAGTCTAATGTATGTATTCCCCAGTATTCAAGAGGTTTTCTCTTAACATTCGTTTTTTTAATCATGTAGATAGTGTTTCAATAGGGTGTTTTGAAAAAAGAAGTTAAGGGATTTATAGACATCAAAAAAATAAACCGATTATTTCCTATGAACTGTAAGTCTATTAACATTTGTTTTTGACATACAGGGCACCAATGATGATTTTTAAATTAAATTTTAGTTATACTTTTTACAAAATCCTAATACAATGTATTGCATTAAAATTTGGCACAGGTAAGGAGCCTCCTAAAACAATGTCAGTTTTGAACTACACGTATTGTAGGCATCGTTTTTTTCGAAAATATTTTAAGATTTAACTTCAAAATTGTAATTAAGATCTCATGGGCTAGATTTTCGAGAAATATTGAATGGCAAAGAACATCAAACTTGATTCGCTCAAGAGATTGGGAAAACTTTTTATTTTTGTAAAAAAGTTTCTCATACAGTTTGTTTATAGAATCCAATGGCATAAATAGTATCTTTCTAGAACTTTTAGTATTCCATTTATATCACAAACTTGTTTTTATTGTTTAATGAAACACCTTATATATTTTTCGATGTTTGAAATATGCAAAAAAAATTTCTTTCAAATGATGTATCACACGATATTTGTGATAAACGCTTTTTATTATTATAAAAAAATTAAACATTGAAAATAACCTCGTAAAACAAATTGATTTGTAAAATTATTTAGCTTGTTACGAACTTACTGTAAAAAATAAATAGTAAATGCCTTACAATAAAGGAAATAACAATAAAATATTTGTTTTTAATTCTAAATTAGGGGGCTATTTTATTTTTCATCCCAATTGTCAACTGCAGTTTTACTTATTGACACTATTTAACAATTTGCAACAATTTTAACTCTCAACACTTCAGAGTATAAAATTATTTTAACTTGCTTTCAGCCTAATAATAGTTTAAACAGTACTGAAGACAGTCATTCGCGTAGGTTGCTGATGGACTTTATGAAATAATGAATATTAACTGTCAAAGTACAATTATTGTAAAACACATATGTATTTGTTTAGATGTTGTCATATCATAAGGTAAGACTGTATTAAATTGTTTAAAAATTTCTGATTTGTTAAGGTGTTTTTGGAAATCAATGAAAACACCTCAAGCCTTCTTTATTTTAATAAACACATAGAAAGAAGACAACCACCTCCAGATATTTGTCAATAATTTATTTAGGATTTATTAAGGTAAAGTTTGTTTATCGAGTCAAAATTTCGATTGCGACACATAGTTTTCTGAAAAAGGCAAAAATTTTACTTTGGAAAATTGTCTAACTTTTGCATGCCTAATTTATGGCACCTTTAATCAAAACATTTATACGCATATTCAAAAATTCTGTACACCTTAACACTGCTTCTTATAATAACGTAAAGAGCATTTACAGGCAGAACTTTTAGCGTGTCTCAACACATGGTTGTTCTCCATTTTGTGTGGAATTCAGACAAGCTGCTTCTGTAGATTGCTTCTATAAACTTCTATTTCTGACAACCTCTTGTGTTTTAACACATGCGACTTCAAGTAACCCCTGTGTACTGTCTTATAGTCGCAGGTTTCACATCGGTACCACTGGCTTTTATGCTTCAACATATGTCTACGAAGAACAGTGTGGGAAATCGACTCAAATGGACACTTACTGCATTTATGCATATCCACTTCAGACTCACTGGTGTGTCTCAATACGTGGTGTTTGAAGTAGTACTTATCCAGTGATCTATAGTCGCATTTATCGCAACAGTACCACTTTGTGTTTGGAGAGCTATTATGATCTGCTGTGTGTTTTATAAGCATGTGAAAGTACATTGTTACATAATCGCAAATATTACACTTAAACATGTTTAAGTCCGAAGGATCTTTGTGCGCTGTTGTAATGTGTTCTCCGAGCTCATTTTTATCTTTGTATTTAAAACTGCAGATGTCACATTTCTGTTTCTTATTTTTGGAACTGATTTTCCGTTTTACTACAGTGTTAGAAGCATCAGGATTGTAGCAGTGCACATCTAGAAGGTTCTTATGTGACGTTTTGTGCATTACAAGTTTATGTAAATATTCGGTTGCATAGTCGCAGAGACTACAAGTGAATAAGTTCAAATTTGATGGGTTTTTGTGCATAGAGGTTATGTGCACTCTGAGGTTATCTTTACTTTTACATTTAAAATCACACAAGGAACATGTCCAGGTATTTTGCAAAGAATTAGGTATCGCAGAATTTTTTCTAACATTAGAAACAGTTTCTGACAATGATTTATCGATTTTTGTTTCTTTGTAGTCTTGGAAATCATCTAATTCTTCCAGATGGTGTCGCAAACTAAAAAGTTAAAATTGAAAAGGTATACTAGCCAAGATAAAAAATATTCTAAATTGTTCTTACCTTTCTTGTTCATTATTTTCCAGTTTTATTACAATATTCTCATTTTTCACCATCTTAATTTCCTCCTGTTTAAAAGTTTCAAATTTTACATCAATCTCTGTTTTGATCAAATCTTTTGGTTCTTCTTGTTCAAATTCCTCAGACTTTATTTCAATTTCTTCAATTTTAATGAAGGAATGGAACGATGGTGCATATTGCCAATCTTCCATTATTGCTTTAGCCTTTTTTTATTCAAAGAATTATCAAATTTGGTGTCTTTGTAATTAAAATTAATTGAGATTTATTTATATTAGTTACACACACTGTGATATTGTTCTTGTTGCATTTTCATGTTTTATAAATGACAAAAAATTAAATATTTGAACTATGAACTTGTGACACAGCCCATTTTAAACTACTTTGTAAATAAATAGTAGTAAACAGAGAAAAAATGTTCACTATTTAACAATTTATTTTCTCTCTAAACCACAAAAACCTCATACAAAATCAACAAATTATTTTAGGTTATGCTGTTGTTGCTGTTATACGTTACACATTAGAAACTAATTTACGGCTCGAAAATTCCTGTACAATACCAATACAAATCCCTGCTTCACAAACGTGTGTGAGAGCGATAAAACTAGTGCGGGCAAAAGTCTCTGATGAAAACAGAATAAAATTGAATTAATATTTTTTTGAATAATTACATTATTTAACAATTTCAATATGTCAGGCATGTTTTTGTGTTAACTATATTTAGACACCATTTTTCGTTTTTATTTTTGGATAATTATTTACTAACAGCTGTTTAATTACTAGGTATTGGTGGTATAAATAAATTGTTATAGTTGGGGCATGTAACCAATAAAGTAGTTGCTTTCCGCAATATCAACAAGTAATTTTGGCTGTGGGGTATATTATTTTACATATCTAAATTTTTGGAAACAAAGCATTGTTTAACTTTAGTTGATCAAATTTTTTGTGCAATTTTTTTTTTATAAATTTAGTTAAATGGGTAATTATTGGTTAGGTAATAAAATATCAGTTTACATTAATTTAATCATATTTAACACTTCTTACACAGTCATTTTAAAATGTATTTTTTTTTTCTATTTTTTTTTAATTATGTATAATTTTGTTCTATTAATATTGTGTATTAGCTGTATGCTATATGTTTAAATATATCATTATTAGTTTTTATTTTGAATTGAATTTTATGAATTTCAAAATCTCAGGATTTATAAACCAAAATTGGGCTTATTTACTGAATTGGAATTATTTCGAATATTAATGATAACACAGCCACACACAAAAAAAAAGTTGGGTATACTTTTTATGCGACATATATTTTTCGTAGTAATTTGGCCTTCTAAACACGAATCTGGGGTCAGAATTGGCCCATCACGTCACAATTTTTTCTTAACCTCAAAAATCTTGTGAAAAATAGTGAAAATTGATGAAAATTTACTGGGAAAATTTGGAAAAAAGTTTATTTCCGCATCAAATAGTACATTTTTATGTAAAAGACTCTGCTGAATTCAAATCCACTGTCAGAATTGAGCTAGAACGTGTGGTTTTTTTTCTAACCTCAAAAAACCGAGCAGTAATCGCTATTTTCAAATTCTGAGCGGATTTTGACCAGGTTTTGTATAAAGGGGTTTTTGGGTCGCTGATTACGAATATGAATTCACATTGTAAAAATTCAAGATGGCTGATCCAATATGGCGGGTGTACTTTTTTGAAATCCACCGATTTCAGTAAAATTTGGTATCATAAGGATTGCTGCTTGATCTCACCTTCATTAATCACACATCTGGAGCCAGATTTTCATAAATCAAGGTAAAAGATTCCATTCCGTCTAAAAATGTGACTTCGCTTAAAAAAATTACTTAAGGACTCTACACATGTAATGATGTGTAGTGTGATGTGCTTGTTTCCATGGGACAAGACAAAAAAGTTTCTACTTTATTCTTTCGATCATTTATTTAGTCGCGCGCCATTATTCCATGGCTAGAAATTGGCCTCAATGATTTGGGATCGAGGGGGATTATCCCTCTTTATCCTGCCTCATCTCGTGTAGGCCTGGACAGCCTTTGTAGGTGGGCCCCATCCGTCGTCTACCCCGACCGCAAATGCGGCCTGTGTAGGCGCTTTGTGGGACTTCCTTTTGTCCTGGCTGGGCCCCGCCGGCTAGGTCCCTTTCTTCTTGCTTCGCCGGCTCGTCTGTGTAAACCCCGGGGGTGGTGTCATGTTTATGGTTGGGTAGGGTGGTGCGGCTATGCAGCCTGGGATGCACTTTGCTAAGGTGGCCCTTTGGCTAGCGCGGGAAGGGAGGGTTAAGGAGGGTATGGGGGGGGTGTGTATGTGTGTGTGTGTTGTTGTCTTCGTTTCTTGATCCTGGCGGTCTCTGAAACAGAAAAGGCTAGCGGGCAGGGGGGGATGTCGTTAGGGTGGTCACCCAGGGTCAAAAAGTTGGTGTCTAGGTCGCGCCATTATTCCATGGCTAGAAATTGGCCTCAATGATTTGGGATCGAGGGGGATTATCCCTCTTTATCCTGCCTCATCTCGTGTAGGCCTGGACAGCCTTCGTAGGTGGGCCCCATCCGTCGTGTATTGTAAGTCTCGTAATATGTGGTGTAGGCGCTTTGTGGGACCTCCTTTTGTCCTGGCTGGGCCCCGCCGGCTAGGGCCCTTTCTTCTGGCGCTCTTCTTGCTTCGCCGGCTCGTCTGTGTAAACCCCGGGGGTAGTGTCATGTTTATGTGTGGTATGGTTGGGTAGGGTAGTGCGGCTATGCAGCCTGGGATGCGCTTTGCTAAGGTGGCCCTTAGGCTAGCGCGGGAGGGGAG